CATGACTGAAGTTTGTGTAGATCAGGTTAAAGTATAGAAATACAGTATAAACTTACATAATTACACTGTAGAATATTCTTTTTTGTAAATCGTTGTTTTAAAAATTCATGTCTTTCAGAGATACAAAACCCAGAGTCGTTCATGATGCAGAGACCGCTGGACATGTCAGAGCTTCTCGACGCCATGGGTATCGTTTGTGTTTTCACCTACTGTTTCGACATAACTGCATGCCGCTCAATATAATTAATCATACAACCAAAGGTCTACTATCCACTGGCTTTTGTTTATTATTTTGTTTTGTTTTCATAGAGTTTCCCATACACGCAGAATGATCGTGATCCACAGTACACCTTATGATGACGAGAGGTATCTAATCTGATCTGATCTATTATCTAATGCTATCTAGTCTATATCATCACTCTGATCTATCTATCTATCTAAGGCTTCTCTCTTTCTCTCTCTTGCTCATCTTTCCTGTCATACTCCTCCATGTATAAAAAAACCTTGAAAAGTACTGTTTAATAATGCAGCCTTTGTTCTGTCAGCGGGTTCCAGACGAGTCTTAAAACCAAGAGGACGTTAGTATCCAATTTCCTCTTTTATTCAGTTTTCATTTACTTCATCTACCTGCAATTGTAAAAGCATCAAATAAAAGTATGATTCCTGTTCTTTCCTCATAGGTAGACCTAGTTTCAATCCTCGTTCCTTTGGTGGTCCTCCCAGCCTGGACTATCCCGTTCAGTTCCCCCTTGCGCGACCATCCTCAGAAAACCTCCAAGCCATCTGTGTCCATGGAGACCGTCGTCCCTACTACTCAGACTCTTACTTTCCTGTTTCTGGTTTTGGCCAGCTGAAGAGAATGGCCAGTGCTGTCAATAATGCAGAGTCCTGGTTCAGTATGTGCTGCCGAGGGAACGAGACGTGGGGAAGCGAAGTGACGCTGTGTTGTGCCAGACAGGCGGTGAGTTTTCATCGGACATACTTCTTGTCCTAATTCTGCTCCTCTTGGTTTATTCTTCTTTACTGATTATGTTTTTCTTGTCATTAGTTTCATCATGATTATTTTCTCAAGAGGCAGCAGAACACGATGAACAACATAATGATATTATTCAGAGATAAAATAGGCCAATATGATTTCCTGTTAATAAACACTTTTAAAGTTATCCACTTAAAACCTCATGGGGATGAATGCTCTCATAGGCCTTCATATTATTGCCAACTTTTTAAACTTATATTCATGTAAACTTAATTCTTGAAGCTGTAATGTCATAGGCCTGGTGTCATATACTCAACCAAACACCACACAGTGTTTTTGTGCATGTTGTTGTATTATCTCAAATATAAAATGGCCATCAAACATTCCTCACATTGCAGAGATGATGGTGCTTGCAATTTTAAACAAAGTTGAAGGCCTTGGGCGCTTCTAGTTGATAAGCCCATTATATGCAGCCCGGCCCGACATAACAAACAGGCCTTGGCATGAGCACCAGTGAAGCTGTCTGGGGGCAGGCAGCAAACCTGTCTCAAATTCTTCAGTGAATAAAGTATTACTTTAATCTTATCGCCTTCCTCTTACCGTGTTTGCTTTTCAGTTTTCAAGTGTGTATTAAGATACTTCACATAATTGCGGGTGGCCCATTCACTCAACATATGGCCTCAGGCATGCAGACACCCATTAAAGGATTTAATTTATACATCCTGTGTGACTGTGTTATTTCTCTGTGCCTACTACAGTGGGAGTTGTCAGTCGAATCCTTCTGTACGGAGTCATCATCAGTAAAGGATCGTCTTTACGACTGCTGCAGGAAAACAGGCAACAAACGGCTGAACTGCTTCCACGATGACGCTCCAAACCCGAACTATGGGCCAACAGAGGAGCTGCCGGTGCCACCACCTCCCTCTTTCGACAGCTTCAACTTTGATCCCAGCACTTGCGAGAGGTACGCAGGGAAATAAATCAAATAGGCACTAATAAAATGTTGATATTGACAAATCACTCCACCAGAAGTAATAGTATTATTTAGTATTCAAAATATCAATTAATCCCACAGACAGTGTCCTGGTGTCATAAACTCACCAGAGCACCAAATGTGTAT